ATATCCCAGTTTGGGTGAAAGGTCTAAACTTATAGATTCAAGAAGTTCAGAAAACCCCAAGGAGGGTACATTTAAAAAACAAACAAACAAAAACCATCGACAAACCACTGGAAACCAGAATCAAAGAGAAAAGTCTCTAAAACAGCATGAACAAAATGACACATGACAAACAAGGGAACGATGGTTTGAATCACCATTGACCTCTCATCAGGAACAGTGGAGACCAGAAGTCAGTGGGACAACAGCTTTAACATACTGAAAGGGAAAACAAAACAAAACAAAAAACCAAACTCCTCTGAACCCGGAATTTTATATCCAACTAAAGTATCTATTTTAGTCAGGGTTCCTTAGAGAGAACCAACAGGATATGTACAGAAATATGAGAGGGATTTATTAGGAGGATTGGTTCATGTAATTATGGTGTCTGAGAAGTCCCACAACAGGCCCTCTGTAAGCTGGAAACCCTAAGTAGCTGGCAGTGTGGCTCTCTCTGGGTCAAAAGGTCTGAGACAGGGAAGCTGATGGTGTACCTTTTAATCCGAGGCCAAAAGCCTGAGAGCCCAGGAGGCCACTGGAGTCCAAAGTCAAGCAAGCCTTCTGATGTCTACAGCAGACAGCAGACATCTCTGAAAGAGACCAGTCTGTCTTCTGTATTTGCTCTCTGGTGATTGGATGGCGCCCACAGACACTGAGGGTGAATGTTCCCCACCTGTCCCACTCAGATTCATGTGTTAATCTCTGGAAACATCCTCACAGACACAGCGGAATAATGCATCACCAGGTTGCCAGGTATCCCTTAGTCCAGTCAAGTCGATGCCCAAAACTAACCATCCCAGTCTCCTTCAAAAATGCAGGTAGTGTCTTCAGATGAATCAAAACAAAAGCTAAGAAAATTCATTGCAGGGAAATCATCATTACAAGCCACGCTAACCCAAGTGCTCAGGCTGAAGGACTCTGATGCGAGGGAGATCCAGATGTCCATGGAGTGAGCACCTTCCGGTTGCTGACACAAGGCCCAGCCCTGGGACTGTGCACAAGTTGTCACCATGGCTCAGCAGGTCAAGGCCACATAGGAGGCCTGGGTGTGCCTCTCGGCCCACCCTAAAAGCCAGGTGCGGCTGCACACCTGTGGTCCCAGCTGCTCAGGAGGCTGAGGCGGGGGTCGCAACAGAGCCAGAGCCTGTCTTAAAATAGAAAGAGAAAAGAGAAGAATGGCAAATACCTGATGAAAGCTATTTTTTTAACTTGAAAAACACACAGGAGTATTTAAGCAAAAACCATAGCATTGTCTTGTGGGTAATAACACACACAAAGGTAAAACCAGAGACAACCATAGCATAAAGGTCATGGGGGAGGAGGACGGTATGACTCCAAGGCTTCCTCATTGCTGCCAAGTGCATGGTGCTGACCCCAAGTGGACCGAGACATGTTGAGGGTACGTACAGAAACCCCAGAGAAACCGCCAGAGCAGCGACAGAGACTCAGCCAACAAGTCGCGCTCACACCTGGAGACTGGCGGTGCTTCCCACCCAGAGCGCCCTGCATAGCCGGGGACTGAGTCCTCACTCACCTCCTGTCATGGCACCTGCTCTGTGCACCTTTCTCCACTGAGCAGGCCTGTGAAATGTTACGGGTTCAGGAGGAAGAATCAGCCCCCCAGGGGTGACCCAAGTGACAGAAGTGACCCTGACGAATCAGGGAAGCCAGACCAGAGCTCATCAATCTTGGAGGAACTTTAGGAGACCAAAGGAAATGACTCGATGGTTAAATGATTTAGGTCAGTTCTACAAATGTTGGAGTTTAGCCTTACATTTTCTTGTAAATTACTTCCAAGGGTTGTGATAAATGTGGTTGATTTGTGGCTGTGTTCATCTTAGAGATGAGAGTGTGCGGGGAGTCTCGGAGGAGGCATCGGAGACATGTGTGTTTGTAGATTTCAGCACCCCCGGGAGAACTGTGCTCACTAGGTGTGATCCTCTGCACGCCCTGCGCTCTCAGGATTGCCCGCCGCCACCGGACAGGCTGCCCCAGGCACACTGAGCTCCTGGGCTTCACAACCCTCCAGGCTGCGAAACATTTGCCTGCAGACGTTTTCTGACTATCCGGTACATATGTTTTTATGAAAGGACTGAGCAGGAGGAATTTGCAATGAATAATTCATGTGCAATTGTTTTCAAAATATAAAGTTATTTTTCAAAGCAAGCAATCGGTCCATGCGTTTCCAAGGCCCACCACTGCCATGGGTGCTTCTGCGCACCGCTCCATGCTGAGACGAGTTCCCCTGCAGAGCTGGGCCGGGGTATGTTGCAGATGGCACAGAATTCCCAGTCATGCACTAACGCCCGAGTCTCCGGGAGGCCCTGGGCTAGCCTTGGAATGCAGAGCTGCTTCCCCAGCCCCCAGGCAGCACCACAGTGCCTGCAGCTCTTCCCTCCTTCCCCTTCCTGCATCACTGCGGCATATTGTCAGCCTCCACATGCCAGCCACGCCCAGGCCGGCCCGACTGATTGGACCTAGGAAGAGACCAGGAGCCACTTTCATATTCAGACAGTTTGTTACTTACGTGGATAGCAAAAGGAAGTAGCTCCAGGCGCCTACTCCTGGACGTCTTCCCACACACCCACAAGGACGACACCCACACCAAGGGGCTGAGGCTGCCTCAAGTGTGCCATACCCTGTGGCCAAGGACCAACTATAGTCAGCACTAAGCCGGCCTGGGTTCTGCAGCTGCGCACCAAGGAGCCGAAAATTTCCAGACTGCATCAGACCCCAGGAGGTGAGGGGACACTGGCTCCCAACAGCCCCTGGGAGATGGGGGTAAGTGGGAGACAGCCTCCAAGCATCTCTGCAGAGCCTCCATCCTCCAGTTCCAGGGCATCGCAATGTGTTCCACCAAGGCTCCAGTTAGCCTTCGCCTGCGGCCTGTTTGGATATGAGTGAGGACGGCCCGCTGACCGAGCTGCTCCTTGCTTCCTGCTGCGTCGTTTTGCATCCCTTCCCACCTGCCCTGTGCTCCTTCTGGGCCCTGTTACCTCATCCCAACGGAGCTCATCCTAGTGGTTAATAAAAAGAACCCAGGTCTGCTGCTTCCTAGTCACGTGGGTGGGACGAGCCACCTGAACTCGAGCCTCACTCACGAGTTTCCACATCTTTAAAGTGGATTCATAGGAGTACCTTCCCCAGGGCTGTGGTAAGGACGGCTGCCTGCAGAGAACTCCGCACAGTGGCTGTCATGGAAGAGCAGTCGACACGCTGCACTGTGGCAACGGTGACGGGACGGTGCAGCACTGTCTGAACTGACCCGCAGCGTGGAGCGCGCTCTTCCTCAGCTCTGACTTAGGCTTCCTGTGGGCCGGCACCCTTGGACACGCTGACCGGGTCCACGTATTGACCTTTGCCACACCCCTGCCCCGCCTTTACCCTTTCTGCACAGCCGTCTGCAAACTCGGCCCTCCCAGACTCTGTCCTCTCTCCTCGATGGGGCCAGTCGTCCTGGACAGCTGGGGGCGCGGAGCGCGCTCTTCCTCAGCTCTGACTTAGGCTTCCTGTGGGCCGGCACCCTTGGACACGCTGACCGGGTCCACGTATTGACCTTTGCCACACCCCTGCCCCGCCTTTACCCTTTCTGCACAGCCGTCTGCAAACTCGGCCCTCCCAGACTCTGTCCTCTCTCCTCGATGGGGCCAGTCGTCCTGGACAGCTGGGACCTCTAGACACACAGATGCATTTTTCATGTTTTTGTTTATTTCTTTGAGAAAGACAGGCACCCCAACAGAGCCCTGACACCGCAGCCACCCCCAGTTTTTAGCCAGCCCCCGACCATGGGCACCAGCATGCCCAGAGCACTCAGGGCGGTCTCCAGACTCAAGCCCAGAACCTTCCCACATGGGCTTGCCTCACAGAGCATTGTGTGTTACCACTGCAACACCATCTGACCTCTGACACTCAGAAACATTTCGAGTGGTGATTCTATGCCCTTTTTTAGGTGAAAAGCCGTTTTCTCACTTAGATTCTGACTCTGTGAGCAGCAGGCCAGGTGTCTGTCTGCTGTCTGCCTGAGCCCAGCTTTCCTCTGGGGTGGCTCACCTGAAGGCAGGCAGCCCGTCTGGATGGCTGGCTGACCGACGCTGGGCACAGGGCACCATCTGCCCCGGCAGTAGTCCAGCCATGTGCTCTGCCTAGGGCAGGCCATCGAGATGACGTCACTTCCTTATTGGAGGACAGGGAAGTGTGTTGTCAGTCATGCCCTGCCCCCGCCCCGACAGAACGGGAACAGTGGTTACGTTGTTGGAGCGAAGAGGTCAGGAGCACCTTGCACTGAGCGGCTGGCTTAGAGGGGAAAATGGTGTCCACGCAGGCTTCTGCCCTGGATATTGTATGTATTTAAAAGTGTAGCTTTCACTTAAAACTGTGGATCATGACAGAACCTTAATGAAAATGCTAGTCTCCCTTCCTCGTGCTGCCTTGGGCTGGTTTTCCTGAATGCGTGAGGGCGTAAACCTGACGTAGAAGACTCAGAAGCCGCTGCGGTGCCCGCGGTTTAGTTAGGGGTCCTGCACGGCACGGCCTTGGGAAAGGTTTGCCGGCTGCCTGGGCGCTGAGTCTCCGACAGCCCAGGACAGGGTGCTGCTATTCCTGTGTCCTCTCACTCCCTCCACCGCCACAGGCGGGGGAGCCCAGGGAACGGGGCCCGCGGGGAAGACCGCCCCG